TAGTGTATCTAATACTTCCCAGTTTGCAGCTGATGATTATCGTTTTAATGCTTCATTAAAATTGATTCAACACTAATTATTATATATTAATATTAAAGTTATCATATATTATAAATGTAGAGATATTACTAATTATATTAATGAATTAAATTTGTTTGCACAAATGTTTTTTAATTTATATCAGCAAAAATATTAAATAACTTAATTAATACGTATAAGAATTTAAAAAAAAAGTCAAAAAACTTTGCATCGACCGGGAATCGAACCCGGGCCGCCCGCGTGGCAGGCGAGCATTCTACCACTGAACCATCGATGCTTCTGGTATTTTCATTAACTAAAAACATATTTAAACTTTATTACGTTAGAAGTAAATAATGTCAGATTTTTCTTATATAATATATCGTTAACTATATCCACCTACGTACGGAGTTTAAAAGTATTAAAATTTTGTTTTTCTTATCGGCTGACAAGACGGCTATAGATTTTGACAATTCAGTTAATCGTACAGAAGTAAATGATCTATGGCAGGGCTGTCCAAACCAGATGCGATCGCGGGTCAATACAAATCACTGTTCAGATTGGAGATTTTGACAATTCAGTTAATCGTACAGAAGTAAATGATCTATGGCAGGGCTGTCCAAACCAGATACGATCGCGGTTCAATACAAATCAATGTTCAGATTGGAGGGTCGCAGTAACAAATACATTCGTTCATAGTTGTCTTTGACAAAAATAAAAGTAGGGTTATAATGTTAAATTTAGTTTCACTAATTTATCAATTTAAATTCATTTATTTGAGATATTATGAAAATAAAATAATGTGGTTTTACAAGACACCAAAAGAAAATTCGTGTAATTGTAGTAGATTAAAAATATGTCGCGGGTCGCACAAACATTAGTCGCTGGCCGCATATGTCCCGGGTGTCGTACTTTGGACAGTCCAGATCTATGGTATAGAAATACTATTCTTTAAGCCAATAGCTGGTCCGCAATCTATAACATTATTTATGTCGTCTGTCAGCAATGCAAGCAGTAGCGGCAACATAATACAACTGTGTTATACGTTATTACAAGTTTCAAAGAGGTCAGAATATACATCCCCTTTCTGCTTATTTAAATTGTTGTAATTTGGTTCCAAGAATTCCATCAATTATCACGACAGCTCTTTATTGTAAAATTATCACATAAGGACATTTCATTATCTCTTGTCAAACGTTGGTTTAAAATTCATGAAATATATGTAGAACTGTTATCTTTTATCAAATTTAATATTTGCAATTGAAACCAAAATGTTTACATTAGGGCTCCATTACGAAGTTAAGCCTTATCTGATTTTAGAATGTGCGCTTCAGCTGACATTTTAGTTTCGATTCGAAATGCGGAAGGTCTTTTATTCAGTTCAGTTCAATTAGAAGCACAAAAGAACTGCCATGATAACAGTACTATATTCCACTGTAAGCCACTACCCCATATATTTTGTTTTTTATTTTATTATATCTGCAGTGAAGTTGCTTGACTCTCTTCTAGTTTGTAATGTTTTCCACTCTTTTATATGTTACAGACTTTACCTAAGCCAGATTCTTGCCTTTGTTAATGCCTCTGGTTGGTTCTAGTTTGACCCTCTATCTACTACCCACTTTTACGAGGTTTTTGTGGACTCAAAACGGCTTTCATCCTTAGCTATTTGAGGAGGATTCGTCCTCCCTCCACCACAACTAACTAACTTATATAAGTACACCTATTTTAATATATAAAGATATAACGGTTATTGTGAACCTTCAGTAAAATGCATTGTGACTAGGTTAATCGTATCACTGAGTTCTTTATTGTAAATGTTAGAGTTATATATGTTATTATATGAGTAAATAGCACATTAGGTCCTGACAATTATAATAGATATGAAAATAGCTTGGATTTTATGTCAAAAAAAAGTTTTTGAATACATAGTAATATTGTATATATATTGAATTTTTCATATTTATATATTTAATAACATTTTAAATTATTTTTGAAATAATGTCAATAATGTATTTCACAGAACTATTTGTGTGAAATGTTTTGAATTTCGGCAAAGTAGAAGCTAGATTATATATTTTTATATATGGTAATATATAAACTTGATATTAAAAATTAAATAAAACTTAGTAAATTTTTTAAATAGTTGCCTTGAAATTTTTCAATCAAAAATTTATTTTTTTATTACTTTTTTGTAAAATCAAAATAAATTAAAAAAATTACTTAAATCTTTTTCTAATCAAAAATGGTATTTTGGCCTCATTGTTTTTAAATTTTTAAGATATTCAGAGCTTCTTCATAAAATTTTCCAACATATTTTCGATCATTGATTATTTCGACTTCATGAATGTTAGTACCCACCAAGTTTATTTAAGAATATTCTCTTTCGTATATACTTCATAATTCCATGGTAAGTTCAATAGATTTTTCAAAGGTTAAACACTACATATATTTGATTACCTATATTATCGATTTGGCTTAATTACAGAAAATTCGCTATTTCGATATCTCTCACAAAAAGACGTAATGTTTCACTATTTGTGCTATCAATCAGTAAGTAGAGCGTTTGACATATAATCAATCATATTCTAAATCAACCAAGTGATTAAAATGTCTATTATATACACCTTTATATACCATATCTAATATCTCACAATATCATTGGAAATATAGAAATGGGAACCAAATCGTCTTTTAAATTCTAAAATATTACTATTTTAATCTATTTTCAGTGTTCTCATGATCCTTTGTCATACTTAAGAAGAGCAGGTGTACAATGGAATAGACGTGTTCGTAAAAGCTTGAATGCGATGTGTAATGATCTCAGTGTACCCGTGCTGGGACAACAAAGAACTTTACAGGATCGTGAAGAAGTGCTAACGAAATGGGATGAACTAAGCAATTATACCATCGGTAAGTCAAATTTATAATAATTTACAAGTCTATGTATATAATATACATGTATATAATATATTAGATATGAAAAAAAAAAATATAATAAAAATTAAGATACAGGGATGATTAAGACTATAAGGGACTTAAAATTTGATAAATAACTTCATTTGTACAGTTACTAAAATTGATTTTATTTTTCTTGATGGCTCATATTTTTTATTAGTGATGTTAATATAAATGACTTATATTTTGATATGAAATATTAAATATAAATCATTATTTTTTTTTAAAAAACTTAAAAATTTCGCGGGACTTTAAATTAATATATCTCTGGAAAACTCACTATTGATTCCAATTTAATATATTGAAGCAAAAATCGAATATTCAAAATATTTGCAAATTATATTTGTGCATAGTTAATCGGTACGTGTAAGATCTATTGCAATGTTTCTAAACTAAATTTCTATCTTTCAAAAATTTTTTAATTTTGCATATCAAAATATTATAAATTTATTCATATTATAAATTATATTATAAATGAAAAGAACTCATAATGTGTCATTCATTGAATAAACATCCCAACATAAGAATCATAAGGTCATTTTTTTATTCTAATTTATTGGTAGTGTTAACATCGAGCGGTTATATATTCCTCTAATCAATTTCTTTGGAAGTTGCATTATATACCTGCTAGCAAAAAAGTTGATTTGTGTTTGATTTATAAAATATGGAATATAGATTTTCATCAGAGACTGTATGAAATCAAGAGATTTTCTATTAATTGAAGAAGTGCCTCTATAATTGACAAGAAATCTGCAAAACAAAAAAAGAATTTACTGTTGCATTTTGCGATTATTAGTTATTAGTAATAGAACTTCTAATGGAGTATAGGTGTTTAGGAGAGGAATATTAGAAATCTATTTTTTTGTTGCAAATTAAAATTGGTTTATTTTAATATTAGCCACTCGTATGAAATAAATGTTTTTGACATTTTCAATACTAGCATTGCTTTAGCCTCTAAACGGTGAAGAATTTCTGAAATTGGACTTGGCGGTACTATTCTTAAAATATTAAAATTATTTTAATGATAATTAATTATAATATTTTTATGTTTACATTACGTATAAGCGTTACATATAAATTTTCTTCTTTTTTCAACAGAGTTGTCGAATTTTCGTCCAGTTTATGCACCAAAGGATTTATTGGATGTACTGTTGTCTTTAAAGGGTCCAGCAAGACAAAGTGAAACTAAAAAGGAGTTTGTGTATATTAGTTATATAGTTAATTCATTATGTAAATAAGCTTGAAACAACAGCAATATTAAGTTATAAGAGTTATAACTAATATAAACAATTAATAATAATTAATTATAAGAGATTAGTTATAATTAATCAATTGAATTATATTTGATTATGTTGTTTCAAACTTAGGATACATAAAAGAGTTGGGAAGAGAATATTTCCAAACGTTTAAATATCTTCAGTGAAATTCTTTTATTCATTAAAAGATTTTAGAAGTGATTAACCAAATATTCCATTCACATGTCATGAAGGAACGTCTTATAACATATAATGATGTTTCTTCTTAATGCACAGTTTTTTATTATATGTATATTTGAATAAATATATGTATTATATATTTAAATGCATATATTTGTTATATATTAGATGAATATGTAAATTATACATATATTTGAATGAATGTACATTTTTGTGTATTTAAAAATTTATTTATATGCATATATAAACAAAAATAGATTAATAATATATAAATAACTAATTATTGTACATCCCCTAATGACACATAGATTAAAAGTTTTATTAAATTATATTTGTTTTCATACAGGCAATTACCTAAATGGGAATTCTCTCATATAAATTTACCTGTAAAAAATCTCTTTGAATTGGTTGGTACAATTTACTGAAGACTTATTTTAATGAATTTATTTAATTGATTATTCACTTGTTTCTAGCGAGCCATTTATGTCGAACTAACAACTAAAGATCAAACATCTACCCATGAAATGGTTCATAAGTGCAAACGCATTTTACGCTCTAAGCACGCGACTCTTGCTCAGCAGTTACTCAAAAAAGGAATGACTCCCGCACCATTCCGTGGACAGTTGTGGACGTATGTGCTAGGAAGTCAAGTAACAGACACGGTACTTATAATATTTGCTTACGTGAGACTAGAACTAATTTTTTTTATATAATAATTGGCTTTAAAGGAGGTTAATTACTGGAACAAACTCAAAAATTCAGTTATAACAATAGATCACATTGCCGATAAATTAGTTTTCAAGGACATACAACTCACCGCATCTAATGATGATCAGTATTTTGTTTTTGAAGATATACTCTATCAGATTTTATTGTGTTTTTCGCGTGATGAGTATGTCGATGAACAAATTGTTGCTGAAAACTATGTATCTCGAGGTAAATACTATGATGCGCCACCATCCGGAGTTGTGCCATTCCATGGTATTTGTATGTTTGGTAAGTTGGTTATTTGAATATTATACCTATATATATATATAAACATTAATTACTTCTATTAATTTAGATGATATTTACTTACTGTGCTTATTGCAACAGCTTTATTTAAAAACGTATCAAATATAATATATTAATATATATTTTTTTTCTAGCTGCACCATTTTGTTATCTCTATAAAGATCCAATTCAGATGTATTTTACATTCCGGGCGTTTTATATACGTTTCTTTCATCCATTGATCACAATTCAGACTCATCCACAGGTATGTATGTATGATTGTAGAAAGATGTAATAATTTTGTACAAATGAATGTTATTAACTACTTAGATCTATTATATAAGTATTTCATCTATTAAGTAGTTAGATATTAAATAAAAATAATTTGTTTACGAGTATTATTTATTTCCAATATTTTTAAGAGAAAACTTTTTAAGTCTTGTATTGTAAACGTAGTTGAATCTAACCTTTTAATATATTAAAAGTATTTCAACTAAAATAATATAAATTCTGTGGATATATAATCCTTTTCGAAACGCAACTCAAACTTGAAGTTTAAAGAGTAAAGGGTCTACAGAAATTATATATACATCCAAAATACTTAAGAAATCAAAAAAACTGTAAAATAATTTAGAAAACATTCCAATAGACAATGTTTAATAAAATATTAAATTTCCAGTTCCCGGTAGGGCTATACAATATCTATTTGATAAGTAGTGCCTTATGCAAGATGACGTTGAACACACTTAACTAACTATATATAACCAAGCATAAGAAATATTACCTTAACTCCAAAATTAAAAGCCAGATTCATAATCTAGTTTTTAATAGATAAGATCAAGCTAAAACCTATTGCAATTTTATATATATATCCCTTGTTATTTAATACTCAAACAGCATTATGTGGTTGAAGTATTAAGTATAACATTAAGTATAAGAGTTACCGTATTACATAGCATGGGGGTTATATATTAGACATATTGAACCAGTAATAATCCACCAGAGCATTTCAATCATATATTTAAGCACATTAAACACTCTGGAATGAAAAGGCTTACATTTGTTATCGTAGGTCCATGTAAAATATAATATATGTATGTATATTGTTCGCAGAAATTTTTATGGAATCAAGATAAATGTGATAAGGAATCTGCAAGACATTTATTAATCACTGTCTAGCCTTTATTTATAAGAAATTAAAACTAATTAGTTTTTTGTTTTGACAATTGGATGTGGCTCGGTAGAATTTAATATAAAATCCTTTCACGCATGGGCCTAAAGCTATAGTAGTTCGAATAGTACGACAAAAATTCCTTTTAATAGGCAAGTATAGCATTATAATTTATTGTATCCTATCCTAATTTTGATTTATTTTATTCAACCCAACTTTTAACTCTGAATTTAAAAATAATTTTGGAATTCTTATTTATTTAATTATTTTCTTGAGTATTTTGCATATTTTAAATATTAGCAATTTATTTGTAAATTTAATAAACAACAATATCAAAAATTTAGGATTTAAGATAAAATCGGCAAAAAATGTGTTTATTATTCTGTAGAATATATAATATATATAAGTGTGTGTGTGTATACATACATATATATAAAAGTTTGATGATTTCAATGTATGTGTATTATATATACATGCATATATATATATTATACTATTATAATCAAAAATACATACGAATTTTGATAATGATATTAAATTTTTCAGGGTATCGTGAGTTTATGTCTATTATATGAAAGACTTCTACAGACACATGAGCCGGAACTGTGGTCACATCTACGCCAACTTGAAATACATCCGTAAGTTATGCAAAACTTGATTTTTCACATTCATTTCGAAATATAATTATAAGATATCTTATGTATAAACAAAAACAAAAAAACTACTAGACTATATACTAAATGTTAAAACTGAATCAAGTTTATCTTTAAACTTATTACGTACTCAACATTAATTAACATTTTTAAAAACTCATTCCAATATAGCACAATTGAATAAAGAAGTACTGTGGTCACATTATGTTGTCCATGTATTTATCTAGTTAGAAGTAACCTAGACAATAGATAATAACAGTAAAAGGTTCATAACTTTAATATATTTTTGTGTATTTTTGACATCAAATTAATCAAAGCAATACAAATAGTTCAATGTTTCTATCATCATCTGGAATGATTTAATAATATCTGTTTTATATTTCTTATAAGAATAATCAAAATTATTAAAGCATTATATAGATATATTGCATATCAGCGCTGTCCAGACCATGTACAATAGCGGTCCAATACTAATCACGATAAAGATTTGAGGGCCACAGAAACAAATACATAGGTTCATCATTTTTTCAGAAAAAAATTAAAATACAAATATAAAAATATGATTTTATATAATTCATAGGTGATAATATACTATTAAAGAGAGGACTCATTTTTAAATCAAGATTAGGTAGATTCGGAAAACGCTCATCAAGAAACTAAAAAGATAAATAAAATAATGTGATTGTATTAAAACACACCGGACAAATGTCCGTAATTGTGGTAGATTAGAAAAATATCGTTTGCAGCGCTTCGGACAGAACTGTTATATAATATATATACCATACTATACAAATAATATAAATTATTTTTATAATTTTCATTATATATCTATTTTTATTTTTTTATAGCATTAAATTGGTCTTTAAGTGGCTGATGCGTGCATTTAGCGGACATTTGCATCCTGATCAATTGCTTATACTTTGGGATTTGGCAAGTTCCATAATATTACAACTAAAAAATATATTTATCTTTATATGCTAACTTATGTACTAACTTATTAAAGAATATTTAGTCATTTTATAACTACCAGGTAAAATTTCATGTCAACCGTCTGAGCTTCTGAATCGAATTCTCTGTTAACCATTCCCTTTGAATAAAAAAAAATACATTGCCTTTATTTTGTACTTCAGAATGTTACTTTCTGATTTTTTATTTTAGTTCATATTGAACACACTACTAGTTACCTCGGCTAACATTTTTTTTTTTTGAATAGGTGAAAATCTCGAAACCGTTCACATTGAGTCAACTAGCAACTCTGGCTACTGATCCAGAGCATCCGTCTGTTATTTCCGCAATGGTCTTAGCGACCACCGCTACCGCCAATTCGTCCGCATAGACTATGGCTAACATGCTTGTCTGCAGCCGAATTCCTTTGTGGTATTTTGTATATGTCTTTACAATACTGAACTCTCTAGTCCGTCACAGACCATACATTTGTTCAAATTTGCAATCTAAAATCGAAAAAGTTCACTTTTTGTTATATGCTATTCCAATTTACTCTTCAATTAGTCCTCTATATCCAATTCGCTAATATGTTGAAATGTCGGCGACAAAGTAGAGAAAAAGTACAGCACTTATCTGTGTTAAGTAATTTTACTTAATATGTAAAATAATTCACTAACTAAATTAAAATAAATATTAGTTATATTATATATTATATTATATAACATAATATATTATATCTATTAGTTGTAAATAATTATATTATTATTAAATAATATATTTATATGTAGTATATGATCATATATAAATAAATTTTATATTATTTTCATTTCTGTATTAACTTATAGTTGTTAAAATATAATAAAGAAAAAATTAATTAATATTAATATTTATATTTATAGATTTTAGCATATGATTCTTTAGAAATCTTACCATTATTTTGCACTATTATCTTGAGCTTCCGTAAAGAATGCCTCCTACAAGTGAACTCTTGGGAACAAATCGAAAATGTGTTAGCCGATCTATCGTCGATCCAGGTTATACCGCTAATACAGTTAACACTAAATCGCGATTCTTAATACTAAACTAGGAACCAATGATCTCGAAAAATTTTAAAAAATCTGCGGAAATGATGGTTTACGATTTATGCTAAAATTTAATTTATTCCAAAGGATCGAAGATCTGATTGAAATAATCTCAATTCGATTAAGGAAATGTTCAAATTTATTAGTCAATTAGATAGTAAAAATATATTGTCTTAACAAAATTTATGTAAATTTGAAGAAACAAAAAGCCAGTCAATACCAATAAATATTTTTTTATACAAATTATGGTGTATAAATATTGTTAAAATATATTTAAACAATATATTTTTATTTTTTGTAAACACACAACGATATGAATTTTACTATAATACTTTATATGTTGAGAATAAAATAATATAGAAAATGCATTTATTTTTATTAAGTTTTTTCTTTAAAGAACGCATGTTTAAAATTTTTTTAAGTAATTACTATAGTATGAGAGATATTTCTTTTAATTGATATGTACTGTATTCAATAGTGGTTTAGATGGTTAGTAGTGACATTTTTGAGAAGTTGTCCATACATATTGGCTGGTAATGATCTTAAAGCAAATAAAATACATTTATGTACTTTAAAAAAAAAAATTAATTTATTATTAATAAAAAAAAAACCAATAGTCAGTTAAATAATTAATTATATTTAATAATGTTAACAAATATTTTACAATAGTAATTTAAGATATACGAAAACTATTCCTATTATCATACGAATGACTCCTGGATCTATAGTGATGAGCAACACTAAAGTAATAACTAAAATTTGAAATGACCCTATATGAAGTACTTCAAATAATAATACTATAGCTTTAGGATTATATGCCAAGCACTATAATTAAGATATATCACTACATAGCTGAAAGACAGGACAGGCAAGTCTCAATCTTATTTAAGACACATACAATGATGTAAAGTTTTGATCTTAAGTAGACAAATCATAAATTTGTTGATCGATATCTACACATTTACGTCATTACTGAATCCATTGAGACCGTTCTAAAAACCATTCTCCTATGAAAAGTCTTAGCAACTTGTCGATTGAAATGTTGATAAAAGTTGATAAACTTTATTGATACTTGCTAGAGATAGAAAGCTGATTTCTTCCTTCCAAGTTGATTGGTACATACTTCACTGGTACATATGAGCACACATCTTTTCCATTTTTGGTTAACTCTTTTTAGATTAATGTATTACCTATTTGCTCTTTTAATGACACAGAAAATGCCTTTGATGTCTGATTGTATTTAATATTGATAGTTCATCAGATGTAATATATCTGTTTACTATAATAAAATTTTACTGAAAATTGAACATATTTGATTTTCAAAATTTACTTACATCTCGGTTATAGATAATATATGTATACTACTTTTGAATTGTATTTGATATAGATTTGGTCGATTTCACTATGGTTGGTTGGTTTGTTGCAACGGCAGGCTATCAGAAAATTTTCCATGTATTAGTGATTTTTCATCATTTCATTCTAATATAAAGAAATGGAGACTAAATCTATCGTGACGAATTCAGATAATTTATTAGATCCTTTATCTTTACCGATGAACAGTTGTCAAAGAAATACTTTCCTTAAAACTTATCTTATCTGGATGCCAATGCAAGGTATTTACAGAAAAAGTGTTTAGTGGTTTATTTTTCTTATAGGCTTCCTCAATTTCTGCAGTGAGAGTTTTACGGAATGCACAGTTTCGTTGCATGGATTGTACATACATCAGTCACTCAAAAGAACTGCAGTAACCTTTACAGTATTCACACGATTTCTTTCGATAGGTACCCCAGATTTAGTTTAATGTAGGCGGGCCATGTTATGTGGGAAGTTACACATAACTTAAATGTCTTTCATTTGTTATTGGCAAGCTGAAGAGAGTAGAAGTAAGTATTATTTCGAACGGTCTCCAGCGTAACATAATCCGGTAACTCTAGGGGAAAGCATTCAGGAAAGCACCAAGGCGCGCTAAACTGTCAGCTTTCTCGTTCTCTTCAATGTTTGATTGCAAAGAATAGTTGTATAAGTTTTCTAATGTTCTTCAAAATCAAATAGCTCTATCCTATATTTTATTATTTTTATTTGGATCGTGAAGGAAGTTTTACCAATAATGTAGATTTACTGTAACTGAAATACGGATGTGTATATGCCATTCGAAATTTTTGCTGAGATTTAAATTTGTGATTTGGATAAAGTATGCTTTAAAATGGTAGTAACATGATCTTAGATCAGAACGTTATCAGGCGTTGAGTACCAATTTTTCTACATTTATATGCCAAAAGGTTTTTTACATGTATAGCATAATTGAATAATTGTTTGCTATTGGAATGTACGGATCCGTTTATATATAAATATGAATGTGTGGTAAATATTCATTTGGTAGTAAGTAAAATAACTTATTATTTCAGTTGTTGTTAGTGTCACATCTTTCATCTGCATTAGGATTTAGCCATCTGGGGAATCGCTAAGTCTTGATGCGAAAAAACCCAACACTTTATTTGTACTTTATCAGTATTGAGATTTCTCGATATCATAAATATCACAGGAAATAATATGCATCTAGAATTTAATACAAAATTAAGAAAAAAGTGGTAGAGCAGTGCTACATAGATGATTTAGTGCACTTACCCCTTCCGCATAACGACCTACTTATTAAAGGATTCTTAGATGGGCATTATGATTAATATAGGTAAAACAAGAATTATCTACGAATGTAACCATACTCAAGATTAATCAAAGATATATATCTCTGCAAACGGTTAAATCCTTAAATACATTATAGTGTATATTAATTTTTTTTGACATTATTAATACAAAACTATGATAATTCGAAGATTTCGTTTTAAAGTTATAAAAAAATTGAAACAATATCCATTAGAAATAAATAAATTATCAAAAAAAATTAGTGCTGCTTTCATATAGCACATTGGAGGTTTATTGCACCGCTCAAAAATGTTACAATAAAATTAGTATATAAGAGCAGTAAGATATTTATACAAAGTGTTTGTGAGGTTAATATATAAAATTTGGATTATTTGTAGCATTTCATTTTCTCTTAATTCTTTTTCATTTCTACATTTTATACATATTTGTTGTGTATAATTATATACAATAATTTATAACGTGGCATGTATAAAATACATGTAATATTTATTCTTATCATAATACTTATAATATTTGGCTGCCTTAATATTATTGTAATATTTGCCATTATGTATACGTCAATCCTTTCGCTATGACAATCATTGCCATGTGAGAAGTCGCGATCCATTGGTACCGAAAAGTTGGTTCAAGCATTTCTACGTGTTCGCTTTCACTTGGTCAGTGCTGGCATTATTTCTAGTACTTAAGGTATTAATATTGCGTGCTGAGGCACCTGATTTTGTATTGCAATTTGTGTTACTTGTATACTTGTCAATCTGCGTAAAAATCCACAGACAGGTGAAGTATCTACTGAGAAGCATTTGTTACCAAGAGGCGGTTTCTTTAATTTGATCTCATCACCGCATATGTTTTTCGAAATTGTTATGTATGCGGTTTTATTGAGTCTATTGCCCAGATGCACTTCATGGTATTTTATAGTATTTTGGGTACTCAGCAATCAGGTATTTGTAGTACATTAAATTTATATATATTATAATAATTAATTTTTCTTTATTTCAGACTATGAATGCGCTACTTACGCATAAATGGTACAAGGATAATTTTAAAGATTATCCTAAAAATCGTCGTGCACTTTTCCCACTCGTCCTGTAGATCATATCAAATCTGTTAATAATAGTCTTATCGCTTACTCTTGTCTAATTTTAATACAGACTCTTTTTTTTTAATAATTAAGTGCTGACTAATAGTCAGCCATTAGCAAATGGCTAAACTCTATTTTAAACTATACATAAGTCTGACATATTGTTTGATAGTCTCTTTAAATTAATTTGATATTTGATATTTTGATTCTATTATATGGATATAGCATAGTCAACGTATAATATAGAACATGCTATTTCATCATTTTGAAACAGAGACATTTTACAATTAAGAGAAAGTGCTGGTGTATCTTCAGTATTAATCGATATAAAGACATTCGAAGAAAATTCTATCAATGAAAAATGAAATTTAAGACACAGAATATTCAGTTTTGACACGAATGGTAGGTTTTGTAAGTCCCCTTTGAATGGATGGAGTCTATCATTTTTGAAGAAATTTTTTATAAATCCATTATAATCACGGTGACAAATGGTTTGAATTAATAAATAAAGCTTTGTAAAGAGAATTTTTATAAATTCACGAAGCCCAACCCGATAAAATAGATGAAGTTGATTGACTTTTTTATTTTTTGGCTAATCATATAAAACTGCAGAAGAGAGTTTTTATAAATCCATAAAAACTTCATGTAATTCAATACTTTTCGAAACTTCTCTAATAAATCCATAAATAAATAGATGAAATATAAATAGATGAAATTAATTGACTATAATTTTTGATTTAATCAAAAGAAAATTTCTAGAACGTCTTTTATAAATCCGGGTTGATCAAGTCGAGAAGTCCATGAATTTGATTGTTTATATTATATAGCCTTCAAATAAATTGCAATAATATAAATGAAATTTAACGTAACTTAAAATATAGTTGTGTGTAGGGCCTTAAGTTTTCAAACAATGCTAAGGCGAATTTTTTTGTTTTCATATCTACATAAGCATATATATCATATAAATTTAAATTTAAAATAAAATTGACTTCACAGTGTCATCGTTCATTAGGACAGTTTCGCACAATTCTCTAAGCGTCAGAAAGAGTTGCAGGAAGAGGTACGACCATTATATAAGCTACCTTCATGCACCTATAAGCGTACATCCGTTCAGAAGATATTTGAAAGTGCTGGCTTTAAATTGGATTGGTGTGCATTCAAAATGGTCGGTGCAGATATAGCACCAGAAATTTTATTCCATAATCATGACAGTAAGGGCTATCATGGCTCCTCTGAGTTGGATAATTTTAAACGTTACGATCGTTGGTATGGTCTTGCCCGTGAAGATGTATCAGTACGTAATTAAATTGATGAGTTTGCTTTTGAATTCGCAATACCCGGGATGATATTCGCTATACTGTTGGGTATCTTATCAGCTATACTATGCTTTCAGCACGAGAAATTGTAAGTAACTTAAAATTTTTTTAGTATATATTATATTTACTATATAATTAAATGAAAAAACTTATAAGCTATGACGAAATATTTATTAAATTAATATTCTGATCTGATATGATCATTTATTAATATATTTTTAATAAATCTGTAAATACTTATTCCGGATCCGGAAAAAAATCTATAGAAATTATTTTAAAGCGTTGCTTTTATTTTTGATATCGCATATCCGACATATCCTAACTTAACATTGATGTTTACCATGGGTACCTGCCATTTAACACCCCATTGGAAATTCTAATAAATTTCTGATGGCACCAATGAAGTTATGTGTTTTGGACATAACTTTTTATAAATTGTCATCTATCTGAATTATTTTCCTTCCTGTTATTTTTGGCCATAGATTTTCTAATAGAACAAATGCATTACTTTGTTCATAGAAATCCATCTATTCCAATTTTCAACTCGTAGTCATAAAAATCTACTGCAATAGCGAATTGTTTATGCAGAAAATAATTAAAAAATATTTTCTAGAACATTGAACAATTTTAAGTAATTCATTTAATATATTAATTAAAATTTTTTAATTAATTTTTCTATAAATTAAACAATTTAGAATTTAAACAATTCGCATTCATGGATAAAATAAAATTTCATTTTTGTTTTTGCTCACAAATTGTTCTGAAGAAGCATTCATTCAACCACAAAACACTTTGAATTTTACTCTTGGATTGCTTATGTACGGCGGCGGGGGTGGTGCGGGAGTAGTGCGGGTATTCAGTAAATATGGATGAGGAACTGTGGTATTTGCGATTGTTCCGGCGTTTGTTAAATAACAGAAAGATTTTTTTTTTTTTTGATTTTTTGGTTGAATATCTGAAAATGTTTTGTTCTTGGTTTTGACGGTTGTTTGTTGTTTTTCTAAATTACTATAATGAACTAAAAATATCGTAAATTTGCGTTTATTGTTCAAATAAATATAGTCGATTTAACAAATAATCTATTGGAAAAATAATGAATACCATGCTGTGCCCGCTCTCAACGATTTCGCATAATTAACGCGGAAAATAAGCGAAACTCGACGTAATGGGCATTAAAATTGTGGCTGAAAAATATTTCGAATGCAGGCAGGCGGAGACAAAAATATAAGCAAACTATGATCATCATTATCATCAGAAAGTACGCAATTATTAACATAATTATAATCTCTATAAGATCTAGAGAAATTCTTTATATATTCTTGCTGGTGCGATTGTTTTTGTTTTTGTTATAATTGCTGTTAATATCATTGCCGTTGGAGGAGGAGGATTGCGCATTTGCAGCTCATGGCAAGAAAAAAGTACTCGTCATATTTTCAGTTTGCAGTACATACCCTCGCCCTCGCCCTCTTCCACTTCCAATTTCCCATTTTTTTTTTTGTTTTTTTGAGTTCCAATCAGCAACGAAAATTTCCATTTCCATTCTAACATTAGAAACGTTTAAGCAAGAAATAGCGTTGATGTGCCTGTCTATAAACGATCTTTTTAGTTTTTATTATACAATTTTCTATTTATTTCTATTTTTTTTCAGATTTTATGATCTTGTTAAGAACTAACAAAAAGAATGTGCTTTCGATGTACTCAAATGATATTTTTATTTTTCCCATATATTTTTATTGCTCTTCTGTGTACACTTGCCGATATTAAATCAGAACATTAAAACGTTAATGATAAGAAAAAATTGTTGTGTCGTAAACTATACGTATAAAATAGTTTATTCAAATTTTATATAAATATTAAAATAGATAATTAGATTATAAGCAACCTATTAGATGAATGCACATTTTCCTTAGTATGGAAGATCCATCCTCCATAGATCCTTCTTTCCATGGAAAGAAATTTAAAAGTGATGATGTTTACTTGGCAATACTAGAAATAGCATTGTATGGTCAGCTAAAGTTCAATAAATTATAAAATAAAATGTTGTTGTTGTCTTTTCATTTCTATTCAAACCCTACTAACTTTTAAATAGTTTCTTTTCGTCATAAGACGCGCCACTTTCGACAAATATAATTAATATTATAATTTGTTTTAAATTTTATGAGTGCTTACGTCGAAAATATTTTAAAATCGGTTTTGTTTTATAGAAATTTAACTATTATTTTGTACGTTGTATTTCATATATCTCTATTGGTATTTCGGCAAATTCGCTTTTGCCTTCATCAGGAGAATTCCTAATTCTCAAGCGAATTTGACAAAATACGTATAGGTATATACGAAATATGTTACAACGTACGAAATCAAAACTAAAATCCTGAAAAACAAAACCGACTTTAAGTTGGTCCAAATTTAGGTCCAAAAATGGTACATGTTCAAAATTTCAATATCTCTAACTCTACGGGTTCAGAAAATATCAAATTTTGATCGGATAATTTTTGTTTTGGCACACTGTGCGTAGGGTCTATTGTGCCGATTTCTGGGTTTAGAGTAAGTCTCTAAGCCCTGTTGCTTCGATAAAAAAGTAGTCTATTCCGTTTGCGCAATACCGCAGGGCATTCTAACATCACATGTGTAACTGACTTTTCATTCTCTTCGCAGAATCTACTTGCGTATATATAACCTCTGACTTGGAATATAGAAGTAAATTACAAGTATTTAAGTTAACGAGACACTGAACTATAAGACAGTATTTTTTAAATTTATTTTGCTTTTTTTTTAATCTTCTAGAAAATCAACTTAGAACGAAGAATAAATAATCGCTGCTAATTGCAGTTTTAGAAAAGAAAAAGAAAATAGATTATTAATTATCCTTAACCAAAATTTCGTCCAATTTCGTTGTCATATCGGGCGTTATTCTTTAGTAGCCGGGTTTATATAGTTCTTTTTGAATCGCTGGATTCCATTGCTTTGAGTGAGATTGCTTGCAAGTGGGTTTTGGTGATTCCTGAGTTTGACTACTTTTATGTGTTGCTGACAATTACATCTATGACTGTGTTAATTCGAAGATTTCTATGAATGCTCGTGTTTTTGAGATAGTGGTCTTGAACTGATTTTTTTGGCTGTTAATGGAACCTAAGTACAGGTTTACTAGCGTTCAATTAGAAGACGTCTCGAACATTGGACTATAGGACTACATGAAGCTAAGTTTGGCCTATAAAACTCCTCTAGTAAATGTTTGCCGCCGCTCTAAGCGGTGATATTGGAATTTCTGTTGTGTGTATGTCCAGGCTTGTTTAGTATCAGACTCTTAAGTTTCAGAGCGCCCAATTCTATAATATACTCGGTGATGTTTTCAATATTGGTATAGGACAGATACTTTCATTTATCAATGCGTTCAACTAGTTTTAATTTACCCAAATTTCTATCCACAATTACAAAAAACTGTAATCAAAACAGCATTCTTAGCTAATTAAAGAAGATTTGATCGTTTTTCGACTTAAGCTACCTGACTATTTAATATTTCATGAATTACCATTTTGCGTATGTTGATTGCAAAACAAAGGCGATTATTTAATTTTATTGAAAATTTGGATGAATAAAATATTAGTGTGGTTTTTGTGCCATATACTCTGTTGGAGAACTAAAGAGACTGGAGAATTCAGCACTTCAATGACAAGTTATAAATGCCCTAAACTAATCCAGGTTTATTGGAGCATATTATTAATTGTGATTGCTGGTAAACCATTTTCCTTGCCTCGAAAAACATATATTACGATGAAATAAACCCAGTTTGGATACCAATTGATGCACTTATGAGAAGGGCGGTTAGGCGTTCTAATAGCCTAAAACATTGTTACATTTAAATTTGATTTTTCTAAAAACTTTCTGTTATAAAAGTATATAAAACTAAATACTATTATAAACTTTTTTATTATATTCAAAACATATAAATATATATAATATATTATGTTTCCTTAATTCCGATGTCTGGAAATTAGTTTGAAAAATCAGTCTGGAAATTCAGTCTAGAAAATTGGTACGGAAGATCAATCTGGAAAAGCACAGAGTGACACCCTCGAAGAAATGACACTGTAGTCTTTGCTGTACTGTTTAGCACAGAGTAAAGGTGATTTTTTTCTCAACTTCTCAAATTCATATGACGTTATGGTATTCAACTATTGAGTCCAGCCGCTAAATCTGACATTGTAGTCATTCAACATTTCCAGTCTAAAGCTTTTACCGTGCCCTTAACATTATCATCGAAGAAGTGGTAGGAGAAAAATTTCGAAGATTTAACATATCATACTATTCTATTTGCAATACCAGTCTGGAATCTCTTACAATTAAATTGCTGCAATATGGAAGGAGTTCGTTTCGATTGAAAGTACTTAATAAATTAATAGTTTTAAAATAATTTTAAGTCATTAAAATTAAATTGACCAAAAAATAATGCGCTGGTTAATTTATCAATGTCATATGTATTGCTTAATGTCGTATGATAAATGGAAGTAATTAGGGGGAAATCGAAATAAAGGAATTGTTAAAGTCTCCAGCTCAAAAATATTCTGAATTCCAGACGAAATGAATAAAATTTTTAAATCTATCATTTAAAATTCATAGTTAACTTACGAGTTGAAAATAATGAATTGAATAATAAGCAAAATAGTACTTTTAATTGTATTAAACTCTTTGGCAACTTTTTTTACTACAGTGATAACTCTATTAAATGGACATCTCTTTTAATAGATACATTTCTTCACCGTGCAATACTGTTAGTCCCCAATTTTTATTTTAAGTGCAAAATACTGTCTATTAAGAGAATTACTGGTCCTATCTTGTTAGTCCTGTACTGTATATTTGAAGTTACTATTTTCTAGAAGTAAACTATAAAACAACATATAGACAGAATTCTGATAAAAATCTTTACACTGAAAATGTATGTTAACTGTTTTCTGTAGCTCATTAATATTGAATCTGTAGACGTGCTCGTCTTAACAGATGTCTTCACGGAATATGTGCTATTAAACTACTCATTAAAGTATCATTATACCATTGTCATTGTCTATAAAATCAAAATATATGAAATAAACTGAAATATGAAATAAAATTGAGAAAAATATTAAAGCTATAAGGTATGTACGATTCCAATTATATGAGTATGCCTTCACCTACGGATGAGTATACGTACGCACACGGAATACCAAAGAAACATGTACATGTTTTTGGGGTTTTTTTGATCTTTAATGATCAAACGCAATGATGAAGAACAGTAGCTGAAAAAATTCCAATGTATTCATCATAATTATTTCGTTCATAATGAATTGAATGCGATAATAAACCAAAATCGAATACACAGAATATAGTGAAAATATTAGGAAAAAAGTGAAAAAAAAAATTAAATAAGTTGTGAAAAAAAAAAAAAATAAAATCTGCTGCTTATGTGAAAAAATACCAGGCCGTTGAGCGGGTGGTATTAAGTATGAATGATCTACGATATAAGATAAAGAAAAATCGAAGAAAGAAACACGACTGACTGGCACGGTGTACACAGCATGGCATTGCAATGAGTTCATATTCAAGTATCCATTATAAATATTGAATTTTAGTGGACTTAATGGTTTAGTTTATTAACGGAATTCAACGATCGTGGAAGTGCGAAACTGTGGAATAAAAATAGTGGGAACAGTTGTGCGATTCGAGTCTCGGCTTTCTTGATTATTGGATTACGTTAATTTGCAATTACTAATAAAGTATTGCAAATATTTAAATAAAATACAAAAAAAAAAGTTTTACTAGGAGTCTATTAATACATAAAACAGCAAAATGGTAAATAACTCCAGAATGATTAGAATTATAAATGGCTCTAAAATAGTTTAATTGAATATTTTGTAATAAAACTAACCATTGATCAATTACTATATAAAAATATGAAGTTTTTGAAATTATTGGTTTAAAGTGACTCTAAAAAAATATATTATTATATTAAACAGAGAAATATATAGCATTTGAAAATATTTAATAAAAATGTTAAAATCTATATATCTTCTCTATAATTATTACATAAACTCAGAATGACTCAGATCAGCGAAACAAAATTTATTGGAATAATTTATATATATGAACACTTTAAACACATTTTCATACGAGGATAAAGCGTACAAATCGAAATATATCCATCATAAATGTTATAAGTGATAAGATATATACTCATATGTAACTCATGAAGAGTACAAAAGAGAACAACAGGACTTGAAGAATATTTTTGTAAATCAATTTTTAACTTAACATCAAGAAAGTGGTCGCAATAATTATGTGATATTTGAATATTTTACAAAAAAAAAAAAAAAAAAAAAACAAATCATTTCTCTAACAGTGGTAAAAATACTTTTATATCTGAACTATTACTCAGAGCTATTATTATGGATTAAGTTAATGCATGTCTTTTTTATCGCGATCCCATCTGAATTACCAAGTGTCCACTTTATGATTTCCCTTAATAAAATGAAATATAGTGTGAATTCACTTATTTCCTTGAGATCATATACAGAGTGGTTTTTTTCACAGTACATTAATTAAAAAAAGGTCTAATAAAATATAGTGTAAATTCATTTATTTCATTGAGATCTTATACAGAGTGTTTTTTTCACAGTACATTAATTTCGTATACTCATTTTTAATATTTGTCGTAATGCAAGTTGCCAAAAAAAGTCTATTCAGTTCAAAAATATCAATATCTCATTTCAATTGGTTCATCCAACTATCTTAGGTTGTTGGTTAAAGTGATGACTCTCCATGATTACAATTAGTGCTTCCACAGTCTATTGTTGTCACATCTTTGTTACCAACTGATTATTTGGTTGTTATTTAAGGTAGCATTGTTAGATCCACTTTATGCGGTTTAAAATCTTCTGAAGTTCAATGAGCGAGCTATCTTCGGTCACACACTAATTCATAGGCCATTAAGATGATCCTTTAATTTAATATTTAAAATCAATATGTTTTGGTATTGAAATATGTCTGGAAGTACTTATTGTTCAAAATTAATAACTTTAAACATTTTTTTAGAAAACCACATTTATTTTTAAATTTTTGAAATCCTATTTTAATCTTAGAATTATTTACAATAGGAATAGGAATAAACGGAGTACCACCTCTCAACAGAGCGGACAACTGCGAACATAATTGATCTTTAGTGCTACTTATTTACAATAATGACTTATTATCTTGTGAACATTGTTCGTTAAACAATTTTCTTTCTGAAAGTTGTCATTTTCCTGCAAATGGAATCTAAATTTAGCTATCTATTCAATAATACCGTATGCATAACATAGGCCTTGGTAAATTGATATTTCTTGAACCTTCTTTCGCAGCTATTCTCCTTTAAAACCAAACAACCTGTTTGTATTTTATATTTGGGTACTATTAGAAATCAAGACCTTCGATTTAATAGCATTTGCTAAATGTTTAAGATGGTTTCAAACATCCAAGTTTTTCTTTTATACGGTAGCACAATGGGCCAACTGGTCCACTAAGGACCCTTTAGGATTGTTGGTACAACTTAAACAAACCTATTTAGCAATCGTTAGTTATATTTTTTATTTTGTTTTTTTTTTTTAATTACTTCTAAGTTTTTTACTAAAATAAAATAAATTTATTAAAAATCAGTACTGACAGTAAATTTTATAAATATTTATTATTTGTTAGTTTTACTTTAAAAACAATTGACAAACAAAAAACAAAAAACAAACAATTGACTCAGTGAAAAAATATATCAAGAACAGAGCTCTAAAATTATTCACTAAAGTAGATACGTTGCTCAACCCCGCCCTAACAAACCTTAAGTTCACCTCAAAACGCACAGGAAGATATGCTGATCTACGGTTCGTCATCAGTTAGAAGATATATAAATGATTATGATTCTAGTATAGTTAAAGATTTGTGTGGGGCAGGGATAAGCCCCCCAGCCACAAAAGAGTAAAAGTGCGCAATAGCACTAACTCAAATAATAACAACAACAACAATTGATTTTACAAAAAAGATTATCGAAATTTTGATGGTAATACTACTTTGTTTAAAATATCTACCTCTTTCGCACTACCTAATATTATTGGAAAATATAATGGTACAGCGTCTCCAATAAAACTTATTATGGTATATTTAGTCTTTTCCACATTTATCTCCTTAAGTTATTCGAGAAAAATTATTCGGGAAATGCACTGAGAAAAACAGGGCAATAAAAGTGATAGACATTTTTTGTTTTTCTCTATATTGCTCTTTATTTCGTTCTCTCTTTTTCTGTGGACAGACTTACCTCAAAATAAGATATATGACTTTAAAATAAATATCAAAAAAAAAAATATATAAACATCATCTTCTATATGATTTGTTGTAAAACTGTTATAAGGGAAGTAATAGCTATGGACTCAATAGTCTATGCTAGCCAGTTCAATATATCAAGTAAATATTAATTAAAAATAATTTTAATCAAAACAATTTTCGCCTTGATCATACAGCTGTGTCCATCAACAGTGGTCTTTCGAACTAGGTGTTAGTTTAATTCTTCATATATAATTTTTGGACCGCTAGTATGACAAATAAAACCGTGTCAAATTTGAACGGTAGACTTGCATGTTAACAGACGAAGTCAACGGACACTTAATTTGTCTTTTTAAAATTTCAAGATTTGCTATTTTTGTTATATTTTTATAAGCAACCATTGCGTTTGCTGTGCCCTTAATTCAAAATAACATATAAACCACAGCTATATACATTTACCTAATCATTGAAAATTGTTGTTTTTTCACACCTCAAACTTTTATTTCTTAGAGTGCTGCAGAATCATTAAATTTTATTTAAAAACTTAGTACATGAAAAATATTATATAGTAAAATAAACTTATTGCATTCCCTTCAGAATATAGTACAATATAATAAAATAAGAATGTTGTCTACTCATATTTATAGTATTACTTACGAGTATTAAACCTTTTTTAATATAATAAGATACTAATTGAACTCTCAGAGAAGCCACTCTACCTATTAAGACCAATATGTCTCCTTTTAAAGATTTATCGACAGCGTGATGTTGACGTGTAGTAATGCACATTTATGAGGAGTATGTTTATACTAAAAGGCATTAATTCCGTTTGACTGATCAATCAGTTTCATTATGACATTATCATTTGCGAAATAACCTATTGCAACCACTATGTTTCAAGTACGCTTTAATGGAAATATGTCTTAAAATGGAGTGTATATCTTCAACATTAAAATACCTGAGTGCTTACAGTTCTACCTATTACTAATTATTTGTAAGACTAACAGTGAAGTCTAGTCTGTCTAGTCTAGTCCATTGAATTACCACTTGTTCTGCTCAATGAGCAATGTTTTAATCCAGTAACGGTCCAAAAATTTAGAAGTTAACAAATGAGATGAATTGGATAGATTTTAAATATGAAAAAGTTAGAAAAAGATAAATATAGAAAGATATAGATAAAAATTTGAAGAAGAAGATTCACTTTTATGTTATTTTAAAATATGAGTATTACTCTATAAGAAATTATATATATATATATATATATATTTGTGTGTGTAGTGTTAAATGTGACTTGAAAGAAATATATAAAAATTGCTATATCTTATACCTTACTTAGACATATTTCCTATACTGTATTTTTGCATGTTCGGTTAGGTACCAATCCAAAGATAAAATTTTGAAGTATTTCTAACTAAGTACGTAACTCTTCGAACTTAGTTTCAAGAAATATTAAATAGCAGTACTACCCTACAAAATAAAATCTAAGGAGCTGTGTGCAATATTTAAATATTTTAAACGTTTTTATCTTTACTTAAATACTTTTTTAAAAGACCAAAAAAATATCTACTACTATATATATGTTATATATATTATATATGTATTCTTAGTATTGCATACATATATATAATCTGATACGTAAAATCACATTCCCGGAAAATTTCCTGCACAACAAAGATAAAACAGAACGTATTGTATAGATGGCATCGTCTTGTTGAAACCACAGTTCCCTTCATCCATATTTTCATCTCAAACCACATCTTTGTTATTTTCAAATGATGGTGCTATCACACCTCCAATTCAACATACGTTACTATTGGATTATCATAGAATCAGCGGGAATTTTATTTTCTTATACACCAACCTATTTTCTTATACACCAACTTAGTTAAAATTCAGCTTCATAATTAAAGTAATTTTGATGCAAAATATTCTATATAATTTTCACAATTATAACATGTTCAGCTGTTGTTAAACGATCTATATTGCAAAATGTCATGACTTTATTGATGAAAGGAATCCCAATATGAACAACCCTTTATGAAAATATGCACTTTAAATTACTAATTTAGTTTATATATAATTAAATTTAATATTCTGCAAATGGATGCTAAGACAGCTAAAGAATGATACATTTTTTATTCTTAAATAAACTTATTTTGTTATAGCAGTGACGACTGCTCTAAGGTGCGGAGGTGTGCGGTGAACACCCTAATATAATTTGCAAAATGTTAAATAACATAGGTATATAAATTTATTAAGTATCTTTACATCAACAATTATTATTATTTATTACATTTCCATATAAATATATATTTTTAAAGTTTTAGCAAAAACAATTAAATATAATTGTCTATGAAAACTCAATTAATTTGCTTCTGTTAGCCGCTATACTTGTTAGTTGTGCTCATATATTTGCAGCTCAAATCACAGAACATTTCTATTATATTTCGTCTCTCCCCTTTGTGTGCAAAGAAGTTGGCCACACATTCATACGTTGCATATGAACAAAATAATGTGCGTGTGCTCCCGTTCGTAATATCAGAAATAGAGATTTATATAGTGGGAATTGTATGAGAGTAATTTTCTGTTCTATTCGAATATCAACTGTATGCATACGAATCCAACATGATGATTTGCCAAAGCGGTTGCATGAGCGGCTGAAGTTTGCCGCATTTGCCGCATTATCTGGAAGGGGCCGCACACCCTTCCAGATAGGGCACGCGTCGTCACTGTGTTATAGCCATGTACATATTTGAATAATCATTATGTCAATATTTTATAATTTTAGGAGGATGACGAGAAAATGGACATTATGCGTCGCGCTTTTCAAATGTTCGACACACAAAAATCTGGCTTCATTGAAACATTGCGGTTGAAGACCATATTGAATAGTATGGGTCAAATGTTTGAGGAGAGCGAGTTACAAGAACTTATTGATGAAAATGATCCAGAAAATACTGGCAAAGTAAATTTTGATGGTTTTTGTAATATCGCGGCGCATTTTCTGGAGGAAGAAGATGCTGAGGCTATACAAAAAGAATTGAAGGAAGCTTTCCGTTTATATGATCGTGAAGGCAATGGTTATATCACGACATCAACTTTAAAGGAAATTCTTGCTGCCTTAGATGATAAGTTATCTTCGAGCGATTTGGATGGCATCATTGCAGAAATCGATACCGATGGATCTGGTACCGTTGATTTTGATGGTATGCAATTGTTTTTAAATATTTTTTAAACCATAATAAACTTATTAAAAATTTGTTTTTGTGTTAGAATTCATGGAAATGATGACTGGTGATTAGAGCTGTTCTGATGTTCTAATATCGAAAAATGTTGCAGTTGTAGTAGAAAAAAAAATTATATTAACATTAATTTATATTTTCTAAAGTTGTTGGTGTTTTGAAAATTAATAAAAAGACTCTTTTTTGCTAAAACTGCAAATAATATTGTTATATAGTTTTTATATTATTAGTTATATTGTAAATTCGCAAAATCATAGGCTATACATTTTTCTTTAAATTTTGAGTCCAACAGAATTATATTTAACTTGAAAAATTTGAATTTATAAAAAACCATCAAAAACTATAAAAACAAGGAGGGGAGTTTCTTGAAAAAAACTGAATATCAAACAAAGACAGTAATTAAAATAAGACCCTTGTGTTCATTGAAAAAATTGGTGACTTATTTTTTAAAAAAAAGCTTAATATCAAAAATTTTTATTCGAAAGTATGCATTCCTCACTCAAATCTGAAAATCCATTCATTGAAGATCTTCTTTTCAAGTGCCATTAATTTAATGAAGACGACTTACAGCTGGTATAGAATTTTATCAATATATATATCTTATAAAACGATCAATAATAAACCATATAGTGACTTCTATATTACTTTTAGCCTTACAAACTTCTTAAGAAGCTTCGCACTCTCATTGCTCTATATATGAAATATGTTTATAGAGAAATTTAAAAAACTTCTACAGTTCGCCACTATGAAGAAAAAAGTCAGCATTGTCTTAATTGACTCTATTGAAAGCATAACTTTCTCTCTTTTGTGTTTCTTGATGGCTTTCATGCCGTACTCTGATGTTTTGCTTTGACTCATATTGGAAACATCACATTTCATCGTCAGTTGGAATGGTTTTCAAACTTGACTGTAACTAGAATTCTTCGGAATAAACATTACATGTCTCTGTAATGTTTAATATTTCAGTCTCATTGGTAGTCCTTCAAACATTTCAGTCAAAATTCAATAGGCTGTGCTTTCAATATCAAATAGCTCAGTTTTCTCGCTTCAGTTTAAATCTCGGTTTAAAGAAAATAATTTTACAACTTTCTAGATGCACTCAGTTATGGATTTCTAGGTACTAACTACCATCATGGAATTGGTCAAACTAATGGATAATTTTGTGAATGAGGCATATATTAAACAGAATTGTTTCTTGGCAGACGTATGAAAACTGATAGTAAGTTAAGTGTGTATCATTATTCACGCATAGATGTCGCTGCTGATAAAATTAGTTCCATCGGTGATGCTGGTGTATATGCCGCTGCACCTTTAAAGTTATATAAATATTTGAAATAAATAAGTAATACATTCTGACTCTACTTCGGATAGATACTGTTATGCTGTTCTATAATTTTCGGAAAACAAAATCTATAAAAAAGTAGGCATTGAGAGAAATTGCATTTAAAAATAAACAAAACAAAGTTTGAACAAGATTTATAATTTTAAATATAAAAAAGAAAACTTATGAGAAAAAATGGAGGATCCTGATCTCTATGAAAATAATAAAGGGTAATAATATATTTTTAAATTGTACTTACAATATTAAAATTCACTTCTTTCATTTGTTTATCATAGAACTATTGTTGGCATTGCGGGTGATGATTTTGTGATACTAGCAGCTGATACCAGAATTTGTTCAGATTATTCTATTGTCGCACGTGCTTATATAAGGGTTCATACTGTTCCTCCCAATTTACTTGTTGCCGCGAATGGTTGTGAGGCCGACGCAAATGCTTGGATCAGCGATATACGAAGTTTCGGGATATCAATGCAGGTGCTATACGACCAACCCTTGATACCAAAATCCGCCGCGTCTTATTCTTTCGTATCGCAATATAAGTACCGTTTATTCCCTTTAAATATATCAACGCTAATTGGAGGTTTTGATGAGCAAGGAAAGAGTGTATTATATGTGAGTGATTCTCCTGGGCTTTATCATTGCATGCCTTATAGTGCCCGTGGTGCTAGTTATAAGTATGTTGAGTCGTTGATTGATTCACAATTAACCAATGCTAAGATTAATATTCTTAAAGACCCTGCCTCGCTTACCAAAGATTTTGCTAAGAAATTGATTCTTGAGGGTTTCGTTTGTTCTACTGAACGTTCTACAGAGACTGGTGATGGTGTATTTGGTTACATAATTACAAAAGATGGTATAGAGCAATTTGGAGCTGAATTGCGCGAGGACTAGAAAAGAATAACCCACTTTAAACAATTCTCTTCAATTTTTTTTTTTAAATACTTTTAAATGAGTGAAGTCTTAATAATGACTGATTACTGTAATTTGATTAGAATGTATGTTTTAGTTTAATATTTTATATAAAAATTCAATGCAAAATATTCATTAACAACAAAAGAAATAATTGAAATTTTTAACTTTGTAAAAAATTTATTTATGCTAAAATATTAAAAATATAATTCTTTATGAAATCAAATTGGAGACCTTAGATACATACCATATACGTATGTACGAGTACAAATAAAAACTTATCGCTATCAACCTAAAACCGTCTCTGCATATGTATATGTATATTAATTATTATTTTCAACATCTCATTATTTTCATTTTATATGTTTAAAAAGTATAGTTTTTCTTACTCAATCCTTTTATACTAACGTTTTTAAACGTTAAATAGGGTCTAAAGTACTTCTTAAATATCAACTGTTCATATCGAGATTTTATACATAACTAGGGTTCAAATACGTTCACATGTCGACCAACTTAATATAGAATTTAAAATGCTTATTGTAAAAGCGCATAAACAACTTCTTTCCAAGCAATATCTACTTGCGTGCCACACAGATGGACATCTCAGTGGCATCATGTTTAGTAAAGCCATCTCTTTAAAATGCATTCGCCGATAACTTTCTTCATATCATCAATACGTATATATCCATACCTATCGCATAGAGGTAACATCAATGAGCTCGAATATAAACGTGGATTTATATATACTATCTTGAATTTAAGAAATTTATATTTTTTTAAAGTAATTAATGCTGTAGTTTTAACGCCAATTGAAGATTGAAGTTTTACATACGATTATAGTTTCCATATGAAAAAAATATAGATCGAAACACCAATTAACTACAATTTTCCTAATAATAAAATAAATAAAACAATTTATTATATTGAATTTAATTTTTTTGTTTGGTTACTTTATTCTTGTATTAATTGCTAATGCAAAATTTTACATAAATAACATTAATAATAATAAAATGAATATTGTTTTTAATATAAATAGTTCTGTAAGAAATAAAAAAGAAAAAAACTTATACACTAAATTATATATAAATTAAAAATTATATTTATATAAAAATTATTCAGTTTTATAATCATTAATCAAAATAAATGATTATTATTCTTATAATTATTGTTTTTTTTACTAATGGTAAATAAATGTTTTATTTAACGTATAATATATATATGTATACATATTAGAATTTCTTTGCATACATTTTAATAAACATATATATCCATTAAATTTATTTAAATTAAATTTTAAAACACAATTCTGAAATATTTACAAAACGTATGGGCTGTGATTTGTTATTAATGATAAGATATTATTATTTATAACTTATAGCAAATTTTCGCAGATATATTTACATCATTCATAAATATACATATCAAATTAATTATACTTATAATTTTAATAAATTTAAAATTGTCAAATTTTATTCATACTTTTAAAAACCATTCTTTAATTTTAATTTTTTATTAAATTTTAAGTTTTCAATATACATACAAATACATATACATATTTATTTTATATCAATATATATGGCAGTTTTTAACGAATGTTTTGAAATTAATTTTGTTTTAAGATTCAATTTTGTTTGCTGTTTAAAATATATCCAAATATTTTTATTATAAAATTTAATTGACGAAATTGTTATAAGAAATATAAACGATATTTTATTAAAATACATTATTTAACATTTGTATTAAATACTCGTATATGTATATGCTATGTAATGTATAAAGATATATCGCGTTCCAATATATTTATAAATTATTTTCGATTCACTTTAATTCTGGCACATATTTGCAATTTACATATTTTTTTAATATATTATCTCATATATGAAATGCACATGTGTACATATATATTTACTTAAACTTATGTATATATGCACATATATAAAAACATTTACTCACAAATATATAAATATGTATTCATTAATATATATATATATATATATATTTTTAAATATATAAATATATATTTAAATATATAAATGCATTCTTAAATATATAAATATATTCTTAAATATATAAATATATTTTTAAATAAAGAAATATATTTTTAAATATATAAACATATTTTTAAATATATAAATATATTTTTAAATATATAACTATATTTTTAAATATATAAATATATTTTTGAATATATAAATATATTTTTAAATATATAAATATATTTTTAAATACAGAAATATATTTTTAAATAAAGTATTTATTGTGAATATATATGTATATATATTTTAAACATATTTTTTTAAATATATCGTCATACATGTAATTATCTGTCTTTTAACATATATTTATATGTATATATATTTTTTTGTAAATACTATTACATATATTGTCAGTATATTTTTATATATACACATTTCTATGTACAAGATATATATGTTTACATTTATTTAAATATATAATTTTATTTGTATTGTAAATTATAAATTGCTTAGTCCATATCATTTTTAAAATTAAAGATAAACTTATAATTTAAACATTATTATCATATTTTTAATTTTGTATAAGTAGTTAATTATGCCATATTCGGTTTTAATGCGTTTTGTTTTTTGTTTTATTTAATCCATTAAAAAAATATACTTTTTATTTTAACAAAATATTTTTAAAATTTTGTTTCGAGTTACAATCGATTTAGTTTTATAATAGAAATCACATTAGATATTCTTAAAGGCGAAAAATAACATTGAAGTGCAATGTTAAAGATAATTTTTTTATTTGCCAAATAGTTAAAATGGATGGCATAGGCATTCTAATTTATTAAATTTAATAATGATTAAACTAAATTAAATAATTAAAATAAATTCAAATTATATGTATTTAATTTTCTTAATGCAAGATAAAAATTATATGTAACTTTTCAGGCTTAAAGTCGGTTAAATATATACAAGTGTCAATTAAAAATTTAGTTTTTATAGTAAAAAAAACCCCTATATTACTGATATAGAATTTTTTTTTTATTATAAGAACGAATATTTTGTTGGCCGACTATTTGAATAAGAATAAAATATACATAATTTTATGATAATTAATAAAAATTTGCAGTTAGAAATTATATATATTTCTATTACGAATACGTGTTAATAAGCTCATTATATAAATATATATATTTATCATTGATGTATACATAATAGTTTTAGTAACTTTTAAATAAAGTTGATAGCATACCACTATAATAATTAAATATAAAACTTACTATTAAATTGGCTGCCAAAATTGTTAAAATATTTATTATACAACAATAATTAAGAATTTAATTTTTATTATAATTGTTATTAACTAACATACAGATTTTAATGTTTTTGTTTATTTAATATGAGTTAATTGATTTTAATACACATAAAGAAAAAATAATAAACTATTTACTACACCTCTTATGTGAAATAATTTGCTTAATTTTTGTTTTTCTTTTTTTAAAAAGTTCTTAGTTTTATGTGTGTTCTATATATATATATATAAGCCTTATTAAATTTATATTACAATTATTTTTTGTTTACTATAGTTTTTTTACATATTTGTCACATTAAAAAATAAAATAAATAAATGCTTTCAAATAAGAAGAAATTAATTTGTATCAAATAATTTTATTCTTATAATAGATCTATTTATTATTCATAAACAAAAAATTTTTAAAGACATCAACAAATACATAAAAAACTAAAAACAGAACAAAATATATATATTTATATATAAATTTAATAAAAATTATAAGAAAAATTAAATACTCGGATTTGAGAAACTTTGAAATTTTTTTTTACAATATCTTCAGCAGTTTGATTTAGTTACGTATATATATAATATATAAGTTAATTTAAATGTATTTCTGCCCGAGTATGTAGTATGACTCGTCAGTCATTGCTGACATTGTTAATGGCTGCAAAGCAGCGCTTGGGTGCCCTGAACCCGTACTTTCACAGGTTTAAAAAAATTTGACAAATCAAACGTTTCTAAACAATTCTAATATTACAATCTTGATCAACTTCCAAACGTCCCAAAGTTTTTTTGACACGCAAGGCTGTTAGACGCACAGTCGGATTATGATGCCAACATTCTTGCATGATTTTTGCTACGGTCGCCAGTACATCATCTTCTTGCCAACGTTGTGGTATTGGTGGACGGAAACCTTTTACGCATACTACAGCATGCATATCATCGAACGTTGGATCGGATGGCACAACATCATGGTATGGTAGAGCATAATCTTCACAAGTTGTTGTTTTGTGGCCTGGTACTTGTGTATAACAACGTCTAGCCATTTCCCATAACACCAAACCAACAGAATACATGTCGGCACGTTTAAATTCTTCAAATTGTTGTGGATTAAGCGATTGATTCAGTACTTCGGGTGCCATGTAACGACGTGTACCCACTCTAGTATTCTGTGCAATATGTAAGACATCTAATTTGGAATTGTATTTAACAGCCAACCCAAAATCGGCTATAGCGCATTGTCCATTACGTTTCACTAAAACATTCTTGCTCTTTATATCGCGATGTGCTATGGCCGGTTTGCCTGGCGAACCGAAAATTTCATCATGCAAATGTGCCACACCAGCTGCCAGTGAATAAGCCAATAATTGTAATTTCTGCGGATTGATAACAGAGGTGGATAGATAATCGTAGAGACTACCAATTTCATGATAATCAGTTATAAGCACCATATGTGTCCGGCAGGTATTACCCTTAATATCTGCCGCAATAAAGCCCAAAATATTCTCGTGACGCATCAGTACGGTCTGATAGATTTCAGTTTCACGGAACCAGGATGCTTCCTCAGTGGTTAAAAATGTCTTGACCGCTACTTCATCATCACGCCATTTTGCCAACCAAACTTCACCATAACGACCCTTGCCAACTAAACGCACCATTTGTATTTGTTTGGCAATAGTACGCTGTACAAGCAAGGGTAAACCTGAACCGGAATTCGAACTTTGACCTACCAATTGTGACAATGGTGATAATTGACTGTTGCACATTGAATTAATTAGACGTGGTTGTTTGCGTAATTTTTCGCTTAGTATACATTTTACTAGTATTATTATAAGAAGCACAAATCCCAAAACTGTTGCGAGCACCATTGCGGTTAATATTAAAAAATGATGTACTGATTGTGTACTAACTGGTAAATCGGGTGCGGCTGTGGTGAGCTTTGGTGTATAGACAGGATGTAAGTCACGATTACAATAATCGCCACTATCACAGCAAGCTATATTTTTGCCATGTAAATGTGGTACGACTGCAACTTTGCACTGTAGCGTGGTATATGAAAGAAAGAGATAGGAACAAAGTTGAAAAATTGATTCGCTTTTTATTATAAAATTAAATTACACACCATTAATAATCCACCATTGTCTTCCGGTGGCATACAGCCATATGTTCTGTCAACTTCATATGTGCCTGTTAGTTCATCGTAATAACCTTCGACTGTGCTGAAGCAAGAACCGCCGGGACGTGTTTCACATGTGCCATTCATTGCATTATCGGGACAACTACCTTCACAATAGCAACTCAATGTGCGAGCTGAAAATAGAAAAAAATTTGTTTAGCAATTTGAATTCATTGATTTATTTTATATTGAACTATAGTTGATTAATTTAATCATGGCATATGCTATCTTAACAAATCAATTATTTTGTGGATCTAAATATATCTGTTAGTAAACCAAGTCTTAAGGACCTATTATAAGGTCAATCTGAAGGAAAAATTAATTTGTAAGTGTTTGTCATAAAAAACTGTTTATTAGTAGTGATAGTGATAGTAAATAGTGATAACAGTGAATTGGCAGAGTATTAGGTAGGTACGTTTAAATTATAAATAAAAATTCTAGCATTGATCTCATATATAGGGAAACATACACTGTTTGATTGATGATAGAGACTGACCATGTAAGAATAATTTTAGGTAACGCTTAAATATACACAATATAAAAAAGGGTAATGTTCACACTAACTAAACGTATTAATAAATAAATTTACCTTATTTAAAAGATAAATCAATTTAATTAAAACAATTTTCTATTGAACATGTTTCGAAACTAGTTTTCTTGTTTGAACGTATTAAGCTAGTTAGTTTAATGCCTCTAAACTAACTAGTTTAATGTGTCTAAGCTAACTAGTTTAATGTGCCTAAACTAGTTAAATGTGTCGGTGTAAATAAAGTTTATGGTATTTTCGAATATCGATAACTATCGATTTTCGATAGTTAGTACATTACTTGACAAAATAACAAATAACTGATAGAAACTACTACGGACATTGCAAAATAGCAAAAAATTACGTGCTTTTGAGTGAAATGTGTCACTTGTGTCACCATAGCCATCAACAAAAACAACGATGTATGCGAGAAGATCAGACGTAGAATCTCTTTCATTCAGAGAGAGAGAAAGAGAAAGAAAGAATGGGAGAGAAAGAGAAAGAAAGAATGGGAGAGAAAGAAAGAGAAATAGAGAGAGAAAGAGAGGTAAAGAGAAATAGAGGGAGAAAGAAAGGGAGGCAAAAAGAAATAGAGAGAGGGAGAAAGAGAGAAGGAGAAAGATAGAGAGAGAGCAGTGTTGCTGCAACATTCTGCTAATATAATATGTATATAGAAGTATTTAATAATCAAATGTTGCTATATAATTATATTATATTAGATTGTTGGAATAATGAGGTTACAATAAGTTTATGTAAAAGTTGTAAACACATTAAAATGTTTGTAAACAAAATCATAAGTAAAATTTGTGTAGACATAGAAAATATTTTCAGTTGGAGAAAATTTATGCAAAGTCTAATGAACTCAAAATATGTGGGAACATAAAAGTAAATGTACATTAACATTTATAGATATATGCATTGTGTTTACATTTCAGTTGTATTGTAAGAAAGAATTTTCATAATTTTCTAACAACAACAACAATAGCAGCAACAATGAAGTGAAAATTATGTAAAGTGAAATATAAATGAAATCGAGCGACCAAGTAAGTGTTTTACTGATAAAAATAGCGGTGGTTAATAGATAGAAAATGACTGCAGAAATTATGGCAAATTATGGCCTTGTGAGTTTGTTGCAATGTAATGCAATGAATTTTATGGTCGGTGCACTGTAAAGTATTTAAGCTAACTATACCCATAAATACAATAATTGTGTATATGATGTACTAAAAAAATACAAGCTGATAAATTATTACAAAAAAAAAAAGAATAAATTATGAATAGAAAAATTATGAGAAGCACAAATTTGAAATACCTCAGAAACATATATTGGATACAAAGTAAAACTAGAGTTCATAATATGTCTATAATATTCTTACATGAAATTGTTATGAGTGATTATATAGTAATGATAACGGGTATAAAGAGCAGGAAAACAAAGTCGAAGTAAAAACGATATTGAACTCAATAAAAAAATATATTAAAGTAAAAAATATGTTATTAACAATTAAAATTAGTAAGAAATGTGAAATATAATAAATCAATTACGAAGTAACAATCTATAGCTTCATTTACTAAACTGATTAAATTAGATAATGAAATTGGTTGAGCGAAATTTTTTTATTTTTTATTTTATTTTTATTCTAAATTCTAAATATTTTCTAAATATTTTCCATTTATTCTAAAATTAAATGGAAAATAATATATTTACTAATTTTCTCAACTATTCAAAAGTAGACATATTATTGAAAAGTATTGAAGTAGCATATCTGATACGTGCAAAATAAACCAGAACATGTCATCATGCTGTGTAGACGGTACTTTAACTGAAAAAAGAGTCAAAACAGGTACTTATAAATAAAGAGAGAGAGAGAGAAAGATAGAGAGAGAGAGAGAGAGAGAGAGAGAGAGAGAGAGAGAGAGAGAGAGAGAGAGAGAGAGAGAGAGAGAGAGAGAGAGAAAGAGAGAGAGAGAGAGAAAGAGAGAGAGAGAGAGAGAAAGAGAGAGAGATAGAGAGAGAGAGAGAGGGAGATGTATTCATTTGAATCTTGAACGTTATTATTATAATCATAATGATATCAGAATCATTGATTATTTATTTTAACTGAAAGTTAAGTAGTAATCAAATCACTTAATTCTCAACAGATGACATCAATATTGGTAATACGAGTGTCGTGATAAGCTGAATATTTATAGGTAGATAGGTTCTGTATCACGTTGGAATTTCGGCAACGAAGTAACAGATAAACTTTTTAAAGAAATCCGTATCGTTCAATTTGGGATTTTAATCCGAAATCATTTGTTCAGAAAGAGGAGAAACAAAAAAAAGTTATATATATAAAAGTTATATATATAAAAGTTATATATCACAATCAACTTTTCTTATAGCATTTAAATTAAAGCGTTTAAATTAAACGATTAAATTAAACGATTGTATGCAACTGTTGTTGTTGTCAGTTTGCATTACATGTGTGAGTTGTCCGGACAGTCCAATCAGTGGATTGCTGTCTTCAGTTGGTAGTACTGAGTGCCTCCATATTATTTGCTAAAGATGCAGACGCCATCTAAAACATTTCTCATCAGCGAATACCGACTCAAACATCTTTATAGTCCGAGTATGATCAGTTTTTACAAAACGGTCAATCCACTGACTTTTTATGTATTTCACTATGTCAATTTTGCGGTATAGCGTATACTTGCTGTATGAGCTAGTAAACTCAAACATTATCAACTATAAATAAAAGTAACTAAAGCAACATTATGAGAACTTTGAAAGGGCACTCACTGTTTTCCCTTACAAAATTGGAAATTTTTGTCTAATGGAACTTATAAGTTTTGTAGAGAAAAGAATGAAAACTCAAAATTTGTGGTAAGAAGTTTTTTGAACCCTGATACATAAAAGAAAAGTAAAGCCTAGATAGGTACTTTTTCGGATGGAGAAATCAGGCGTCGTAAAGGTTTGATACTATAATTTATCAAAGAAATTAAGCTCAGTGAAATATTTTGAACCTTTTAAGATGCCAAATACTTATAAGTCTATAAGTTCAAATGCAAAATCCCAAAACTTAATAATAAGAATATGTGGATTGGTAAATCAGAACTAGTGTTCTAGAACTAGTAGCACTAGTGTACCAAGCTGAACGAACTAGAAATTATTTGTTGAAGCCATATATTGTGTGTATATCACAATATATATTATAATAAGGTATATTTGTCGTTGATATTTTAAATAATTTAATTTTTTGATTAATACGATCATATGGATTGGACTGGCAGTTTTCATCGAATATTTCTTGTTGTAGTTAGAAATTTGATTAATTTTTTTTTTAATTTGTATAAATAAAATTTTTATAAATGCGATATGAAACAATTGTAAGTGAATAGCCTTTAAAAAGAAAAACATTGTCAGCTCATCAATATCAAAAGTAATTTAGTACTTTTCCATACAAATAATTTTTTTATCTGCAATCAAGCATTTAATTAAAGATAAAAAAAAATTAAAATACAATAAAATGAACAACACAAAATTGCAAATAATAATAGCGAAAATAGTGAAATTCAAAATGAAATGAAATCATTTTAGAGAAACACGCCTTGTAATTTGAAATGAAATCAGAAGAAAAACGGAATCAAACGGGGTTTCGGTGAATTACAGATTGCAATTGGTAATTGGCGAAATATTCGCTTTGATGAAATCTGCAGAAATGCAACATTCCCCCCGCAGACGCTGAATTATGAAAGTTATTTTGTGATTTTATATATCTGTAGACTTAGAAAATGAAATTCTTAGAATCACCGCAGATAGTACGGATAGTTCGATAGTACTAATTGAAGGCAGTATAGCAATGAGTAAGTGAATGAGATAAGGTGAGGTGAGATCAGGTGAGGTGGACCCTGAATTGTGAAAGTTATTTTGTGATTTTATATATCTGTAGACTTAGAAAATGAAATTCTTAGAATCACCGGAGATAGTACGGATAGTTCGATAGTACTAATTGAAGGCAGTATAGCAATGAGTAAGTGAGATAAGGATGAGGTGAGGTTATGTGAGGTGGACTCTGAATTATGAAAGTTATTTTGTGATTTTATATATCTGATTACGAAAGTTATTTTCTGATTTTATATATCTGAAGACTTAGAAAATCAAATTTTTAGAATCACCACAGATAGTACGGATAGTTCGATAGTACTAATTGAAGGCAGTATAGCATTGAGTAAGTGAATGAGATGAGGTTAGGTGAGGTGGACCCTGAATTACAAAAGTTATTTTGTAAATTTATAAAATTTTATAAAAAAAATTATTTAATTTTTTATTAAATTTTTGGTTTATATTAAAAGTAACTCAATTGCATTGCAATGGAAAGGCAAAATTGTCAAAGTTACAGTAACGATAATCGTTACTGCAAACGTTCATTGCAGTTATGAATAAATTTGCAAATATTTACTATTTGCAAGTATTTATCTCTTATTTGTTGAGCACTTTAAAATTTATTTTTTTGAGTGGGCAGATTAACACAAATGTAACGCGTTTCACAGAGAAAGCAACACTAAGCTCAACGCACGTGATTATCGAACAAGTCAGTACCGTAGCGGTCGAGAAAGGGTAACAGA